ATGTAACATCCAGGAATTAAGAAGACGCAACTTCCAATGCTCATATACTTGGACCATTAAAATGTAAGTATTTGTTCTTACTTTATACTTTGACATCCCTGTGGCATTCTGTGGCTTTCTATATTACATCATGATATAACATTAAAAATTCTAGGTTTCTCTGGCACGGTTTTTTGGCATTTAGTCTTTGCATAACATGGACTTTGAATTGCTCAACATTGCCATGCTGCATTTCTCCTAAAACACCTTTGTAAACTGTTGAACTAGCACCCTTCCCAAGTACTTCTTCAAAATGTTTGGTAGCTTTCTCAAGCTCCTTGTAGGTGAAGCTTTGCACACTCATCATGCCATGGGTTGCTCTGGAAAGTTGAAGCATCGTTCTTTTCCTGTATCTTGAGTCCAAAACAAACCTTAGAGTAGTAATCAACCGAATGAGGTTAAAAAATGCTGAGCTACTTAAGAGTAGAGTTAGAATAAGATTCAATTTTGACTTCTGCTTCTTTGAACCATCGCCTGAACCCCCACTTGAACCTGTAAATAAGTTGAGTTAGTTATGAGTGTATAAACAAGCTTGAATTTGCACAAGTAGTTCGGTGAGGGCAAAAAAAAATAATATGAAATTGTGAAATATATATAACAAAAAATTATTTTATAGTATTAATTATTTTGAATCGTAAAATAACAAAACTTTTAGATAAAAGATGGAGTTTCTGATATTATGTTTCTTTTTTTATTAAAAAAATTTTATTTTACAGTTTGAATCACTTTAAAATATAAAACTGTAGAGTCTATATATAATTAAAGTATTCCTTTATTTATTTATTTATTTCCATGTTCGTTTTCTTTCAATGTCTGCTCTAATGTCTAAAAAAAAAAAGAAATCAACTCAAATGAGAATGACCATAAGATCTGGGTTGAACCAATTGGTTCAGATTTGACCCAAAGACTTAACACTCACCCGACGGCCTTGGGCCTCCCAAAAAATGAAAAAAACTTAATACTCGCCCTAAAAACAAAGCCCTAACACATTAACACAGACACAAACGCAATCTTCCTTTCTAATTCTAGCCATCCTCCGTCCGACACCAAATGGTCTACTGGCTATCCCCTCACAGTATCTGGACATCCAATTCCTGGGTTTACCCCCTTTCCCAATTTTCCAGTGTAAAAAAAAAAAAAAAAATTCTAGACATTCTCCAATTTAATCACTGGTTTCTTCTTTACTCTCTGTTTCAATTGTGACTCTGTCCTTCTTTCATTTTGTTCTTGCTATGTTCAGCGCTTTCTCGTTGGAACCGCCATTGCTGTTGAAGTTTCTGAAATCTTCGTGGGTCTAACTTCAATGAAATTTTGAAGGAATTGCTCTGTCCTTCATCTTCTCTCCATCATGTGTCTCTCTCACATAGAACTCTGTTTTTGAAATTGGAAATTGTTCAATTCTGGTTTTGCATTGATTGAAATTGTAATGTTTCTATGGTTTTTCTTGATTTTGTTAGAGCAACCCAAGGAATATTTTTTACAAAACCTTACTAAAACTATATATCAAGAATTCTGCATATGGCTAATAAGTGGATTAGTTAATTCCCAATTTGTCTATTTGGTTGTTAAATGTCTGTAATCTTGTCTTGATTGAGTAATGCACTCAGCCTTATTCATGAGCATACACGACACTAGTTAGAGATGGAACAAGTAACAGAGTTAACAAACATAAACATACAAGAGTTCAAGAATTTAGCTTGATGAACGCGAAACAGAGTCCTAACACTTTTCTACACCCAACATCTACCCAACATCTTGAAGAGGCCTCACAGCATCAACAGAGATCATCACCCCATGAATCTGAAGAACAGTATTGATCACACTTCTTCTTATTAATAGGTTATGGGGCTTCAGTGGATTTAAATTAAACTGTTGAATGAGGATTGACTGGAGGATGAGGAACTTCAATAACACCTTCTAACATCTGTGAGACTCTCTTCATAGTGGGTCTTAACAGTGGATCATCTTGAATGCACCAAATGGCAATCATCACAAACTTCTCTACCCTCTCTATGTCCTGAATTGCCTCTTCATCCTCTTGCACTAGCATATACATTCTCCGTTCTTCATAGCAATCGTATGCCCAATCAGCCAATATCATTTGATTTTGATCATCTACATCTTGGTCAAAACTCTTCCTACAACAAATGAGCTCTAGCAGTAGAATTCCAAAGCTATAAACGTCAACTTTGACTGTGACAGGCTTGCTTTTGAACCATTCTGGAGCAACATATCCTTTTGTACCCCTAATTGCGGTAAGAGTTCGTGTCTGGTCTGTCTTCAAAAGTTTTGCCAATCCAAAGTCTGAAATTCTTGCTGTCAAGGAGTCATCTAGAAGGATATTTTGTGGTTTGATGTCGCAGTGTATGATTTGGTTGTTGCACTCTTCATGCAAATAAGCAAGTCCTCTTGCGGTTCCAAAAGCAATTTCAGTTCTTCTATACCAACTTGGCCTTGAATTCCCAAAAAGATAAGATGCTAAAGATCCATTGCTCATGTATTCATACACCAAAAGCCGATGTTGCTCCTCATTGCAAAATCCTAGCAGCTGCACAAGATTCTTGTGGTTTGTCTTGCCAATTGCGCTCATTTCTGCTTGAAATTCTTGCTCGTTGTCTGTCACCATCTTGTCCAATCTTTTAACCGCAATCAAATTGTTGTTACCAATAGCAAGAATTCCTTTGTAAACTGTTGAACAAGCACCCTTCCCAAGTTCTTCTTTGAAATTATTTGTAGCTCCTTCAAGTTCCTTGTAAGTGAGGCTTCGTAAACCTATGCCCTGGATTTCACCGGACGGCCGAGTGATCCTTCTTTTCCTAAAAACAACCCAAAGGGTAGCAATCAACAGAACAAGGTTTAAAAATGCTGAGCTACTAAGGAGCATAGTTAGAATAAGATTCAGTGTTGACTTCTGCTCCTTTAAACCGTTGGCAATGGATGTTGTGGAATTGTCTTTCCTTATTTTGATCAGTGCTTTCGTTCCAAAATCATCATTAAGTTGCACTCCATATGAGAGAGGAATTTTCTTCATCCAGCATTCACGACCAGTATTAACGATTGCAGCAGCACAAAAGCAATCTTTCAAGCATACCTGTTTACACCAATCCTCAGGAACGGAGCTAAAATATTCATAATCCCCTCCCGGCCAATTTACGCTGGGCAACTCGCTTAGATAAAAAGGATCTGCATCTTGGCCTCCATCACAGTCTTGTGGGACAAAAGCCTGTTTGCATCCCATCATTTCATTATCTGGATCCAAGGGTGAGTATCCAGGTGGGCAAGTGCATGTAGGTCTCTGATCATTTCCTAGATGGCAATAGCTGTTGAACCCACAAGCTCCACTGCCTGTGCTTTGCATTGTGATGCTCTTGCAAATATCGTCTGGGACATAGTCCCGGGTAGACCAACCACTAGTCCCTCCATCAGTGACACCATTGTTCCTTGGATAGACATATTGCCTGAAGATACCATCATATTCAAGGATTGCTCGCTGATAGAAGTCGCTAGATGAAGCTCCGATTGATGCTATAAAACGGATTATGCTTTTATTTTTATCTTCTAGGTAGATGTAGCCAGATAGGTTAAAGATAACCTGAAAGCCACCTCCATTATTGTTAGCTAACCAGTAATCAGTATTTGGTGAACCCAGTGGGAAATGTACGGTAGAAAGTGTAAGATTTCCATTTGATTGTAATCGCATTAGAAATCTTCCACTTGAATAGTTCATTTCTGAATAACGAGCATGAAGGCTGCTACCAATACTTATTGTCTGTGTGGGTAGTATTGTATCAGTTGGATGATCAAAACTTTCCCACAAATTGGTGGAGTTCTGGCTTGCCAGCACAAAGTTCCCAGTGTCGAGCATAGCAGCATAAGAAACAATACCAGAGCCAGACAAGTTAGCCATCCATACCTCTTGTCCTTTTGGGTCTATGAGCTCGAACTGGCCATCTGTTCTAAGTTGAACTTTTGATCCTTGTTTGACTAGATTTCCGCCATTGGCTGACCATACAATGGTTTTTTCAGGTATGTTATCAAACCATATGGCCAGTAAGAACCCTCCAGTTTCAATCTGTTGGAAGCCAAATGCAAACTCACCAGATGGAGATGTCCAGGAAGAGTTATCATTGAGTACGGCCGTTAATGATGAGCCCAAGGTTATATTCTTATATGTTTGAGATAGGACAGAGACTGGCAACAGACATAGTAGGATGAGGTAGAGAGAATTAGGATAAGCAGAAGCCATGAATACAGGTTCTACTTTTTCTAAAGGTTTAACATGGGTTACAGAAGTTTTCGACCTTCATACAACAAAGAAAGACTTCCGATTAAGCGTAAGGATAAGGATCATATTCACCACATATTTTTCAGAAATTAAGGTCTTGCTGAAGGTAATTAGTCTGTTTCGTTTCTACCTTTATAGAACTTTTATGACTTGTCATTGTTGACTTCAATTTCGTAATCAAATTAAATTTGTGCAACATCAAGGAATTAAGAGGACGAAACTTCCACGGCCCACATACTTGGATCAATTCAAATGTAAGTTTTTGTTGTTTAGTGGACTTAGACATCCCTGTAGCATTCTGTCATTTTCTACTTTACATTATGATAATATTAAAAATTTTAAGCACATGGTCTTTGAGGTTAACTGACACTCTGTCAGTTTGAAATGCATTTCTCGCTCTTATGGATGAGTTTCGAGTCCGTCCTTTAATAACTTGTTAAAAAAATTTTTTTTTAAGTTATTCTAACACATAAGTGATTTGTATTTAAATTAGATTTTTGAAATTAATTAATTATTTTTAAATTTTAATATTTATATTTAATTAATTAAAAGTTTAACTTTTATCAATTATTTATAAAATTCCCTGATCTCTAAAATCCCTTATGTTCCCAAAACAAAAAGAAGTTGGTTGGCATTTTTTTTTCTTTAAACAGGGGAGAAATTAGGGGGAAAAAGGGGTAGGAGGCTGGTATTGCAATTTGAACTCTGGCTGAAGTCTAGAGTTAGGTGCACCAGCAACGCAGCCAAAGTTGCGGTGCAAGTTGGTTGGCATTTAATCTTTACCCAACATGGACTTTGACTTGTTCAACATTGCCATGCTGCCGGTCCTCCTAGAAAGACCCAAAGAAGATATTTATTTCATTGAAAGATTTCTGGGTTTACATTTGATGGTGACTTTTTTTTCGTTTTTCCTTTTTCTGGGTAGAGTATAGAAGAAGGGAAGCTAGGGATTTGGAAGCCAAATGTAAATTCACCAAATGGAGATGTCCAGGAAGAGTTATCATTAAGTACTGCAGTTAATGAGGAGCCCAAGGTTATATTGTTATATGTTTGAGCTAGGACAGAGACTGGTAGCAGACATAGTAGGATGGGGTAGAGAGAATTAGGATAAGCAGAAGCCATGAATACAGGTTCTACTTTGTCTGAAGGTTTAACATGGATTATAGAAGTCGAACACCTGTATAAGATATAGACTTTCAATGAAGCGCAAGAATCACGTCGACCATATATGCTTAAAAAATTAAAGGTCTTGCTCAGGTTACCAGTCCCTTTCTTTTCTACCTTTATAAAGCTTTCTATGATTTTTCTTAATAGACTTCCATTTCATTTACGAAATAAAGATGTGTACAATCCAGGAATTAGGAAGATGGAACTTCAAATATTGTTCGTACACTTGGAGCATTAAAGTGTAAGTATTTGTTGTTTAGTAGACTCTTATATCCCAGTTTTTTTCTGTAGCTCTCAATGTTACATCATGACAATATTAAAAATTCTAGGTTTCTCTCTCATATGGTTGGCATTGACACTTTACGTTGCCTAACATGGACTTTGATTTGTTCCTTCTAAACCTAAAAACAAACACCCAAAGACAATATTTATGGCATTGGAAGATATCTTGGTTTTTACATTTGATGGTAACTTTCTCTCTTTTGGGGTATAGTATGGTAGGAGAAGAGATTAGAGGTTGGGATTTGAAAACCGAACCTGGGGAGGTACACCTCCCAGGGGAGGACTCAGGAGGCAAGCCACACTCCCATGCCCGTGGGTGTATGATGGGGACTTTTCATTATAAGAATCCCTCCGTGTACAAGATAACTGTTTTTCATATCAAGGTTGCTAATTTTCAGACTGATTTTTGTCATTTCTAAAGTTCTAGTGAAATAGCTAAAGGCATTCTCAATTTCTAGAAACTTTAGTTAAACAAATTAATGACCTAATTTTTCTCTTGTCCATACTCCATTACTCACAGTAACAAGTGATCTCACAGCAATTCGGTCAAATAGTATTGACTACAGTTCTTTATTTTTAAGTTGAAATTATGAACTAGGATTGGAGGGAAGAAGAGGAACTTCAACAGTTCCTGCTAGCATTTGTGAGTCTCCTCATAGTGTGGGTGTTTGGTACAGCACTGGTTTTTTCCAACCCAAAAGTGAAAGCTGTGAGAGTTTCCTTCATATGTCAATCTGTCAGCACCATTTTATTTTCATTCTCTTCATCTTGTTTGTAATTCTTCCGAGCTGAGACATATGAGCTCTTGCAATAGAATTCCAAATGTTTGTGGTGGTTTTAGTATTAAGGGGATAATTTTAGGCTAAATTGAGGGATGAGATTGGAATCACATCTACCCACCCTAACGAATCACAGCTAAGGTTGATTGCACAAAATACTTCACACAATCTCGAGAGAATACTCTTGATGAAAATTTATGACTCACTGTTCAAAGAAGTTACAATCATAAACTTCTTTACTAAGAAATAAAATTTCTGTTAACTAGGGCTCAAAGTGCTCAATAAGATAAAATGCTCAAAAATAATAAGACTCTCAAGTTCTAACACTCTCAAGTTCTAACAGATCTGTAATAGCAATCTTAACTAAGCAGAAGCCATGAATCTAACAGATCTGTTATGCATGTGCAAGACATTCGATTACAAAGTTTATGCACATTCATGACCATACACTAGCTAGAAATCATCCCATGAATCTGTAGAACAATATTGAATTCTTTTTCTTAACAGATCGTGAGGCTTCTGTAGATTTACATTAAACTGATAAATCAGGATTGACTGTTGAGTGGAGGAAGAGGAACTTCAAGAGTTCCTTCTAGCATCTGCGAGACTCTCTTCATGGTGGGTCTTAGTGATGGTTCTTCTTGAATGCACCAAATGGCAATCATCACAAACTTCTCTGCCCTCTCAATGTCTTCAATTGCTTCTTCATCGTCCTGAACTAGCAGGTACAGTGTCTGATATTTGTAGCAATCATATGCCCAGTCAGCCAATATCTTTTTGTCTTCGTCCTCTTCATCTTTCTCACAATGCTTCCTACAACAAATGAGCTCGAGCAGTAGAATTCCAAAGCTGTAAACATCAACCTTGACTGTGACAGGCATGTCTTTGAACCATTCTCTAGCAACATATCCTCTTGTTCCCCTAAGTTTTGTGAGAGTTCGTGTTTGATCTTTCTCCAAAAGTTTTGCTAATCCAAAGTCTGCAATTTTTGCTGTAAATGAGTCATCTAGAAGGATATTTTGAGGCTTGATGTCACAGTGTATGATCTGATTGCTGCACTCTTCATGCAAATAAACAAGCCCTCTTGCAGTTCCAAAAGCAATTTCAGTTCTCTGTTTCCAACTGGGCCTTGGATTGCTGCAAAGATAAGATGCTAAAGATCCATTTGTCATGTATTCATATACCAAAAGTCGATGTTCTTCCTCATTGCAGAATCCTAGCAGCCGCACAAGATTTTTGTGGTTGGTCTTCCCAATTGCACTCATTTCTGCTTGAAATTCCTTCTCATTATGGTTTTCCTCCAACTTGTGCTTGTGCAGTCTTTTAACGGCGATCAAATTCTTATTTATAGTATCTAAAACACTTTTGTAAACTGTTGAACTAGCACCCTTTCCAAGTACCTCTTCAAAATTTTTGGTAGCTTCCTCAAGCTCCTTGTAGGTGAAGCTTTGCAAACTCATCATGCCATGGGTTGCTCTGGAAGGTTGAAGCATCGTTCTTTTCCTGTATCTTGAGCCCAAAACAAACCATAGAGTAGTAATCAACAGAATGAGGTTCAAAAATGCTGAGCTACTTAAGAGCAGAGTTGGAATAAGATTCAGCGTCAACTTCTGCCTCTTTGAACCATCACTTGAACCTGTAGAAGTTGATGTAGAATTGCCTTTCCTTATTTTGATGAGTGACTTTCCCCCAAAACTAGCATCAGTTACCCCATTGAATAGAGGATATGACGAGCTCACACAGTCACCATTGTGGAAAAATGCAACAGCACAATAGCAATCACTCAAACAAGTCTGTCTACACCAATCCTCGGTAACTGCGCTGAAATATTCATACAGTGACCCGAGCCAATGTGTATCCACCATATCCTGGAATTCAAAAAGATCTGCATTTTGGCCTCCATCACACTCATGCGAGACAAAACCCCGCTTGCATCCCTTCATTTCATCATCAGGATCCAAGTACAAGTATCCAGGTGGGCATAGGCATTTAGGTTTCTGATCATTTCCTATAATACAGTAGCTGTTGTACCCGCAAAACCCGCTACTTAGGTATTTTCCTACGCTCGTGCAAATATCTCCTGGTATGTGGGACAAAAAGGACCAGGCTACAGCCCTTCCAGCAGTAACACTATTGTTCTTTGGATAGACATAGCGCCTGAAGACCCCATCATATTCAAGGATTGCTCGCTGGTAGTATCCCTAGACGAATTTCCGCTTGATGTTATATAACTGAGTATGCTTCCATTTTTAGCTTCTAGGTAGATCTAGCCAGACTGGTTAAAGACAACTCGGACACCACTGCCTGTTGTATTAGATGCCCAGTAATTGTAATTCATTGCATCCAATGGGAACCTTGTGGTGTAGGCTGCAAGATCTCCATTCAGTTCCATCACAAAGGTAAATCTTCCACCTGAATAATTCGTCTGTGCATAACGGGCTACAAGTTTGCTGCCTGGTTTCAATATTTGTGTGG